CTTTGAAATGCTGTCTTCAAAAAAATTGTGGTAAAAAGCATACGGCATAAAATTCATCATATTAACCTTTTTAAACTTTATTTTTTAATGTTTATTTATTTATTTTTGAGAGAGAGAGAACACATGTGGAGGAGGGGCAGAGAAAGAGAGGGGGACACAAAATCCGAAGCAGGCTCCAGGCTCTGACCTGAAAGCAAGCAGCGAGCGTGATGTGGGACTTGAACTCACGAACTATGAGACCATGACCTGAGCTAAGTTGGATGCTCAACTGACTGAGTCACCCAGGTGACCCCATATTAACCCTTTTTAAATGTATAGTTCAGTAGTGTTAAGTTATTCACATTGTTGTGCAATAGATTTCTAGAACTTTCTTACCGTGCAAAAATGAAACTCATTGAACAACAACTCCCCATTGAAATGCTACCTTTTTATCATAGACTAATTTCCTGTCTTTGTCACTTCTTGCCTCAACCACTGTAACAGCCTTCTAGCATCACCATAATCCCAATCTGTCATGCACACTACAGCCTGATTCATTTTCCTCATGCTAGCTCTGACCACAACACTCCTTTATTCAAAACCTCCACAAGCCCTTCCCGATACTGCAATTGAAATTAAGCCCCCATTACACTCTTTTATAGTGCCGGTACCTTTTCTTCCTGTAACGTCTCATGGTTTGTAATTTTCATTATCTGTGTGATTATTTGACTGTTGTCTATCTCCTTGCTAAACTTCAAGCTTCATGAGAGCAAGGGCAATGTGCTGGCCATGTATTCCCAGGGCTCAGGGTGCTCCTGGTCCCCAGTAGGGAGTCAGTCCCAGTTTGTGGAATGATAGCTTTCCCCTTGCCTCTGGAATAAGGTAGAAACAATTGCAAGATCTGATACTAACTTACCTTCTCTCATCCCTCTGACCTTCAAGGAAGTCAAATTGGACTTCTTGTTCTTCCTGAAAGAGCCTTAGGCTTTTTAATGCTTGGTTCTGGTTTACACCAAGTTTTGATTTTATCTTTTTATTTGTGCTCCAATTGCTCCCTGTGCCTGAAGGCCATGCCCCTGCCCCTCCCCCACCCCCCCACCACATCCCCTGCCAGCATTACTACCTTATGGAAATCCAATTCATCCTTCAAGACTATGGCTGTCTCCACCACTAGACTGTGAGTTCCTTGACAGCAGAGACAAATTTCCCCTAATTTGTCCTCAGGGAGCAACACAGCTGCTGGTCCCAGGAGGTGTTCATGGCCACACATCTCTTTCCGCTCCTTGTGACTGGACAGTGCTCCTTATTTGTGGGCATCTGGGAACCTTGCTTCCTGGCCTCCCAGGGCAAGACTTAGAGCTGGCTTCAGGAATCTTCTGGTAACCTAATAAATGTGTCTTGTTGTGTTGTGAAAGGCCTGAATATGAAATGGTGGAGCAGGGGGAGAGGCTTCCCTGCCTTTCAGTACTGTGCCCTTGACATTCCCTCACTCTTCCCCCTTCTCCAGCAATAAACAATTACTGCCCCCCCCCACCGCATCCTTCCCCTCCTCACCTGAGGAGGGCCCTGGCCCTCCCTAAAGGATGCTCCCTGCCTCTTCCTCCCTGCAAGCCCTTTGGAGAGGAGGCTGTTTAGTTGGCCACACTTCTGGCCTCCTGCCACTGGGAAACAGGATTGTCATGTTCAAGTTCCTATTGTGCCTCCTCCACCATGCCTGCTCTAGGGACTCCCTGGCCATTCCCTGCCACTGTGTGCTTCCCAACTGCACCCCTGTTACCTCCAGGATCCAAGGCAGCCCCTTCCTCTCACAGAGGCACTGGCCCTCTGGCTTGGGCTTCTCCCCACCCCAAGGGCTGCTGGCATCCTGGAAGCTCAAGAGCTCACAGAGGTCAGGGGTAGCAAGCTGGGGACCATGTGCTGGATCCAGATGGCTAACCTATTTTGTTTGGTCAGAATCATGTTTTTAAAGGTCCTGGCTGGGGAAGGACCTCAAATCCTCCAGACTTTTAGGGGCTAGATTCCCTCCACATCCTGCTGTTCTGCTTTAGAGCTCATTCCTGAGGCCACCCCTGCCCTAGAGCTGTCCAGATTCTGAAATACACCTGCTGACCACAACTTCCCTCCTTCCCCTTCGCTTCCTGCTTCCTCCAATCTTGTTCTGTTCTTCTCTGCACACGGACCTCCAGCCCTCAATCCCACCCTGCTCTCCCAGGCTTCTGTTCTCTCTTTGTTTTCCTTCCCCTGCCTCACCAGTTCCCCCAGAACCCCATGTCTTTCTGTTGGAAGCCTTGGATGAATCTAGCCATCCATCTTCAGTGGGATCATCCTAAAAAGCAAAGTTGGGGGGCGCCTGGGTGGCTCAGTCGGTTAAGTGTCCGACTTCGGCTCAGGTCATGATCACAAGTAGTTCCGCAGGAGTTCAAGCCCCGTAATGAGGCTCTCTGTGCTGACAGCTCAGAGCCTGGAGCCTGCAGCCTGCTTCCGATTCTGTCTCCCTCTCTGACTCTCCCCCCATTCATGCTCTGTCTCTCTCTGTCTCAAAAATAAATAAACGTTAAAAAAAATTAAAAAAAAGAAAGTTGGCTAATTCTTTGCTTTCCTACAAACTTTGAGATTCTTCAGCCACAGGGCTAGTGGTACTAAGAATAAAGACACACTCCTCACCTGACCTTTCAGAAGGCCCCGTGTGCTCTGCCTGTTGCAAACCTCCTCTGCATTGTCTCCTCCCAAACTCATACCAGCCCTGTGACTCTACATGCTGAACTTTTTTTTTTTAATTAAAAAAAAATTTTTTTTTAATGTTTATTTTTGGGAGAGAGAGAGAGACAGAGCATGAGCGGGGGAGGGGCAGAGGGACACACAGAATCTAAAGCAGGCCACAGGCTCCAAGCTGTCAGCAGAGAGCCCAATGCGGGGTTCCAACCCATGAACTGTGAAATCATGACCTGAACCAAAGTTGGACGCCTAACTGCCTAACTGACTGAACCACCCAGGCACCCCTACATGCTGAACTTCTTAGCCATCGCAGCCCCTTTCAGGAACCTATACCTGCACAACAGCTTTCCCCCACTCATTCTTCCCTTGGCTCACCTTAGTCTTTAATTTATTTTTGAAAGAGCGTGAGCAGGGGAGGGGCAGAGAGAGGGAGACAGTATCCGAAGTGGGCTCTGTGCTGACAGCAGAGAGCCCGGTGTGGGGCTCCGACTCATAAACTGAGATCATGACCTGAGTTGATGCCTGATGCTCAATGAACTGAACCACTCAGGTGCCCCAACCTTAGTCTTATTTTAAAACCCAACGGTTTCTAAGGGTAGATATGTCTTTGTGTAAAGGCACCGAACAAGGCCAGTGAGATTATACCATGAATAGATAAACAGCTGCTACCTCTAAGGAGAGCAGGAGGCGATTGGGATTGAGGGAGAGAGTTGGTCAAAGGGTACTTTAGCCTTATGGGTAAGTAAAGTTTCTACTTTTCACAGGGAGATTATACTATGTATTTATTGCTTGTGAGATATACAAAGAAACAAATGAGGCAGTTCAATACCAGGAAGCCTTCCCTAGACTTCCCAGGCAGATGGAGCTGTTTCCTTTTCTGGGATCAAATAGCATTTTCCTTGTGTTCTAGGAAATAACTGTGTTGTACTTTGTTGGTGCCTTTCTCCTTCTGGGTGGTGAACATCCCTGAAGGTAGTAACTTTAATCCATGCTCCCAGTGCCCAGCAGAGTGTGTGGCCCACAGCAGGTGCTCAGGGAGTGCTGAACCCAAAGCATTGCCTCAGTCAGTGGGAAGCGCTTTGAAAGCACTTGCATGGGATAGGTCTGACCTTAGTCCTGAGAAAGATTGTTAAAATATCCAAGGAAGAATGTCTCCAGGAGTCTGAAATATGGGTAGGAGTCTCTGGGCTCTTGGACTGGATCAACATGAGGATGGGGCTGGCATCCCCAAGGCCAGGATCCAAGTCAGGTCTAGTCTCGTCACGTGGCATGCTTCTGAAGCCACTTCCTCTTCGGCAGTTAATCTAAGAGCAAGGGCTATATCCCCAAACGTTGAACTTCTCAGGCCCAGCCTTAATCTGTATCTCTAAGGTGAATGGGTCAGCCTAAAGAAACAGGCCAGGAGGCCTGGAGTTAGGAGGACATGCACACCAGTGAGTGCCCCACACTTGGAGGGAGACTTGAAGGCACCTAGAATCCCAGATTGTAATCATGGGAGTCTGCTACTTTCACAATTTTCCAGAGAAATCTTAGCTCCCAGGCCATAAAATGCTTCTTAGGCCCTATCTATTGCCCATAGGCAAGAGGGCAAAGGGGCGGCCTTAATGGGTCAAGATTGGGGCCTAGAGTGGGTAGGGTGGCTTTTAGAGTTGTAAGGTGGGTACCATGTGGCCAGAACACTTCTGACTTGGATGTGCAAGTGGTAAGGAGGATGTGGATGGGTCTGAATTAGTCTAACATCTAAGAACGTCCCCAGCCAGCCCCTGTATTCAACCTTTTTTTTTTTTTAAGTTTCTTTATTTTGAGAGAGGGAGAGAGCATAAAATCTGGGGAGAGGCAGAGAGAAGGAGAGACAGAATCTCAAGCAGGCTCCATGCCATCAGCGTACAGCCCGATGCAGGGCTCGAACTCATAAACCCTGAGATCATGACCTGGGTCAAGATCAAGAGTCGGATGCTTAACCAACTGTGTCACCCAGGCACACCCCCTGTATTCAACCTTGAATAGGACAGCCTTCCTGGGGTCTTAGGACAATGAGGCTAGGTCCTTGGGCTCCTGGAGGGATAAGGGCAGTGGCAGTGGCTGGAGGCATTTGGTGAGCAGCCCCCTCTGAGCCTCCCCCTTCCTCCCAGCTATTCACCCACCACCCCACCATGAATTGCTAAAAGGAACATCTGATCACACTACAGGCCTTTAGACCTCAATGAGAAAAACTGTCAGCCAGCCCATCTCTTTGTAAGTAACTTTTATTTTTATTTACAACAGAATCGGTGGCTTCGTTCCTCCATCTTTAGGGACAGTTGGCATCAGCAGCCAGATGGAAAGTCCGCCGTGAAGTCAAACTCATTCTGCCCCAGCCACAGCTCTGGCAGCTCATTGGCCCGGTCCAGTCCCAGTTCCACCACCAGCGACATCAGCACCTCCTCATCCACTGGGTCCGAGTCGATGATAGCAGGGCTCTGGGCACCAGTAGAAGGAGAGAGTGACCCCGCCCCTCCCGCCTGAGCTGCAAAGCCCCAGTTTTGTAGGGGCCCTGCCTCCCCAGGTTGGCCCGTAGTAGCGGCAGCCATCCCATGATACTGGCTATTGAGTTTCTGCAGCTGCATACTGGCCAGCAGATGAGGGGCAGGGTGCAGGTTGAAGGGTGGGGGTTTAGTGGGAGGGGTGGCGGTAGGAGAGCCTATTGGAGATGGAGATCCTGAGGAACTAGTGGGAGCCCCACTGGCCTTGGTTCCATTCGAGGCTACCCCAGGGTAGTGCAGAATGGCCACTGCTTTGCGGTCTTTCACTCCCAGGTTAGAGTAGGTCAGAGAGCTCATCTCTTGGTTGGCATCCTAGAAGAGAAAGAAAGGCACAGCATGGTAGCCCTGTTAATGGTTCTGCCAGCGCCATTCATCAGGCTCAGAAAGCCCCTATGTGCACTTCCTTTGGGGCTAGTGGTGGGGAGGGAAGAAGGAGGCCCCATGGAAGGTTAGGCTTCCAGCTCGAATATCCTTTTACTACCATGGTTCTGAGCACTGAGCTCAGACCCAAGTCCTCTGTGCTGGGCACCCACCATCCTAAGTGGGTTCATGGCTTTCATCTCTTTCTCCCTGACTCTTCCTTCACTTCACCATTTTTCTTTTCACTTCACCATTCTGAAAAGGGCATCTCATTGGCTCTCTTCTCAGCCTCACAGCAATCTTTGCAATGGAGTGGTCTTATGACCCTCTATTTCTCTGTTCCCTTTATCTGCCATCTTCCAACACCTCGGTGGGTTCAATTTGACCACATTTAGGCAGCAGCTATTCTCAGCCTCCCCAAAGAAATCGCTGCCGTTTCTTTCCTCTCTGCTACAGGACACTAGACACCATGCATAGGAGGGCCTATCACCAGGCCCAGATCAGTTTGTCTTTCCATGCTTCAGGGTCTCCATCTGCAAAATGGCACCAGTTACCTCCTTTGCAGGTGAGGTGCCACCCTTGACATCAAGTGCAGGCCTCGACATGGTTGGCATTTCAGAGCCTTGGCAGAAGTTGGATAAACTGGTGGGAGATGATGCTGCCAGCTGGAACTTTTGTGCTGTATGTGAGGGAAAAGAGAGGATAAGGACACAGTCTTCGTTGACCAAGAAAGCACTAGCAAAGTCCTAAGCAGGGTAACTCCACACAGCTACAAGGCAAGGATGGCACTGGGGTTAGACCCAAGACCAGAAACCACCTGAGCACAGGGAGGAGATCAAGCTAGAACATTGGCCCGAGACAGGAAAGGTGCTTGATTTAGCCATATGCTGCCCAGGCAGCAAGCTACCCACATCACCAAGGGGGGGGGGGGGGGGG